CTCTAAGTGTACAAAGAGGTCCAAGTCTTGATAACTGTCCAGGGACCAGGACTAACAAATCTACATCTTTCAGTCTTTTCCATTTTCCTCCTTTCTGGACATCTTTAGCTCCATTGAACTTCTTCTGGGATTCAAGGACTAGAACTGTGCCTAGCACTGGGAATGGAATTCCCACAACTTTGTGAATAGCAGGGGGGAACTCTGGTAGCATAGTGCCTAAGGCACTTGACTGCTAACCAGAAGGCTGGCGGCTCAAACCCACCAGCCACTCCTCGGAAGGAAGGTTGGGCAATCTACTTCCATAGTGATATCGCCTCGGAAACCCAGGGAGGGGTTGCTGTGAGTTGGGTCTGACTCCACGGCACACAACAACAACAACAGGGGAGGGGGAATTCCTGGGTATCACAAACTGTTTTGTTCTTGGCTACCATCTGAAAGTTTGGCAGTTCGAATCCACCCAGCAGTGCTGCAGAAGAAAGGTCTGAAGATCTGCTGCTGTAAAGAGTTGTTGTTGTTATGGAGCTCAGTTCTACCCTGTGACACGTGGGATTGCCATGAGTCAGAATTGACTCAACAACAAAGCTGTGTTGGGGAGTGGGAAAACCTTTCTCAGCACTTTCCTGCTAAATGGTAAATAGATTCAGTAGATTGTGTGAACAAAGCCAATTCAAAGCCAGTAGACCAAATAACAGAATTCATTCCAGGCAGAGGGCTGGTAACTGAAGCTCCAGCAGGAAGCTAACTTTTCCTGCAGGGTCCACAATGCCTAGGAAATAACCAGAAGCAGCCAACCATTCCATTATTAATAATTTCCTTTAGAAAAAAATTTACTGAGTACCTACTATGTGCAAAGAACTGAGTTAGGGACTGTGAAGAATGAATCAGACAAGATGCCTATATTGTTGTGGGAGGGGAGGGGGTAAAGAGTGGGGCTTAACACCTTCAATAATTATCACATTCCAAGTATGAATTGGGAGTCATGAAGACATACCCCTTAAAACAATTTAAGGATTCAGATGGGAGAAGTTATTTCTCTCTGGGGCTTGGAAAACGCACTGCTGTTGAGTCCCCAAGGCAATATCACTACGGAAGTAGATTGCCCAACCTTCCTTCCAAGGTGTGGCTGGTGGGTTTGAACTACCAGCCTTTTGGTTAGCAGTCAAATGCCTTAGGCAATTTGGAAAGAGAAGGGTGAGGTCTTGGAATGTGGGTGGGATTTTAAGGATGAGACAAGGAGGCAGGGGTGGGGGAAAGGGCATTGCAGAGTTGAAACAATGGATAAAGATACAGAGACAGATACAACTCAAGGCACAAATCTTTCTATAAATTTGTACTCCCCTTTTACAGATAAGGAATAAGTAGCCCTGGTGGTGCAGTGGTTAAGCACTCAGCTGCAAACCAAAAGGTCAGCAGTTCGAACCCACCAAGCTGCTCTGCAGGAGAAAGATGTCCACATTTCTGAGGTGAAATGACTTGCCAAAGGTTCCTTAAGCCCAGGAACAGACCTACTGTGTGTATGACACAGACCTACTGCTTCTTCACACCTCACTGACTCTTATTCACCTCCAGATTCCTCTAAGTTGAACATGGTATCAGAACTGTTAAACCCAAAACCCAGCCTCATCAGGAATTATCTGCTTCCATATGTTCTCAGCAGTGCTTACTGACCTAGGAGTCAGGAACCAGTCCCAAATTTGTCTCTCACTTGCCATGTGTCCTTAGAAGATCATCTAATAGCTGTGAGATTTAGTTGGCTCCTGGACTCAGTGACCATTCAGATATCCTAAGTTCAGTCCTTCTTGAAAGTTCTGAATGCTCTTATGCAGTCAGGGAGGATTTATAACCCAGTCCCTCCTGCTGTGTGGGAATCTTTGGTGTCAGGCAAATCCCAAAATAACCAAACCCACTGTCATCAAGTTGTTTTTGACTTGTGATTGGCAATTGGCTGCTAACCTAAAGGTTGGTGGTTTGTGGACAGCTGCTCTGTGGAAGAAAGGCCTGACAAACTGTTTCCGTAAAGATGACAGCCAAGAAACCCTGTGGAGCATTCTGCTCTGTAATACATGGGATCTCCATGAGTGCTTATAGACAAACCTTTCTTAAGATGGCCTTGGTCTAGTGATGCTCTCTCTAAATTCTCCTGACCCCACAAGCCCAGAAATTGCGTCTGCATGGTCCATCACAGGTCCCCCACATCCTATATTTTTGCACTTACCCATTCAAGCCCAGAGAAGTGTCCTTGGTATGACAAGAACATGTAAAACTTTTGGGGCCAGAAATACTACCTGGGACTAGGACAGAGAAGGTGAATTCACCAAACTGGTTTTTTCCAATTCTTAATTAAATACAAAGATCCTAAACAGAGAGAACAAAAAAAATGAACCTGAATGCATTTATTCAGGAATATGGCTCTAAAATTATGTTTCTGTTGTCTTTAATAATCTCTCCTTGAGCCCCCAGGCTGGGCTCTGTGTGTTCCCTTCTTAGTACTAATTATGGATTTCCCCCTTATTAAACAAAGCAAAACAAAACAAAACAAAACATACACATGCTTGCAATTTGCATTTTTGAAGCATTCAGGGTGTTAGTTGAGCAGGCTAAGATGTTTCAACATCACCCAGAGAGCAAAGGCCAGTGGGGGCTCCAGCAACAGGACTGGCATCTGTGGTTACCAGTTACCAAGACATGGCTGGAGAAGGTTCCAGAAATGACCTGCCAGTGTCATGGGGTTCTCTGCAGGAGGGGCTGGCTGCTCAGAGCTCCGGCAGCTAGTCAAGAGGACCCACCCAACAGGCTGGGCCTGCTATGAACATCCAGAGGGCGTTGTTGTGAGGGTCAAATGACAGAGCGCTGACAAAGCACCTAGCACTGTGCCGGGCACATATGGGGACCCACTAAGTGCTGCTGCTCTTCCTGCTCTTTCCTAGAATCCTGGGAGAGAAGCAAAGAGCTGAGGCCTCAGAGTATCCTCTGGAAAAGCACCAAGGGTGACTGGAGTTTTGTGTAAGAAAAGGAATGACAGGCAGCTGGCTGTGGCCAGCCCTGAGCTAGCAGCTCCACACCTATCCTTCATCTTACTAACAACCTTGTAACATCCTTAAGGATGTTAGGATCTAACATCCTTATAACAACTTCTTCTGGCTCCTAGGGGCGGGCAGATGGGGGGGTTGTAGACAACACTGGGCATGAGGTGGGATTCTCCCTCCCTTCCAATTCCTGCATGCCCAATTTCCCTAATGGAGGTGGTATTCTTATCCAATTTATAGAGGAGAAAATAAAGGCTTAAAGAGGTAAAGGGATTTGCTTACAGTTACATAGGGAAGGAAAGGTAGAGCTGAGATTCACACCCACACTCCACTGGACTCTAGAGCCCCAGCTCTTTCTGTGACACATAGCTGCTGCCCCCTAGGTGGTGCCAGGAGAGCCACAGACACTGGAAATATTTTCAAACAGTCCCCTGACCTCTTAGACCTCATGCTGGACAGAGGAGGGGGAAGACCTAGATGTGGTGCTGAACACTGTCCCCAGTAAAGCAGTGTCCATGGTTCTGTGAGAGGCTGAGCTCTGAATGTCAAGGTCCTGGGTCAAGGCTTGCAGACCTGTCCTGCACAGCATAGGTCAAAGGACAACCTGTCCCTTCCTCGCAAGAAGCAGGTCTAGCTTAGCTGGGCACATGGACTGAAGCCTCTCCTTGTGTTCTTGGCTGTAAATGCCAATCCAGTTTCACTAACCAAGATATTCACCCAGAGATCTCATTCCTTGGTCTCAGCTAGCCTGACATCTTTGAGGCTGGTGCCAGAATTCTGGACTCTTCTTCCTGGGGATAGGTTACTTATGGGAAATTAGTTCTGAGATACAGACTTCCCTAATGAGTCAGGCACAATCAACCAAACTCTACTGAGATTACCTGTTCACCTTGGGCTCCATTATCCTCATGCAGTCTTAATCATCAGCCAACATAAGGGGTAGAGACTGAAACCCTCAACTGTAACCAGAACTAGGCTATTAATAGCAGTACTTGCAGGTTTAAGTGCCAGGTTACTTAAAACCTTCTACCACTCACAAGGCACTTGAACATTCAAAACCAAACCAAACCATCATCTTCCTTTCCCTGACTGCTTCCAGTGTCTTTATCCCAACAAACAACTTTTTAACTGTTGGTTAGAAGGCCTGAACAGTCCTCCGTGGCTTAGTATGTGCTTGACCCAACTTCACATGGACCCACTTGCCAACTTTCCACTGATGAGATAGAGTGCATCTCAGCTGGGGAAAGACAGCTACGAGTCCAGGCATGAGCGATTCCAGGATGTTATGCTTTTTAATTCTGAATGTAAGCTCACCTTTCAGTCACCTTTGATGATGCCCTCAACCCCCCATGGTTTCCAGACATAGCAGCACCCTTGTATGGCACCCTCCCTCTGAATGACTCCCTGAGCCTAGAAGATATGAGCCCTGGGAGTTCTATGGTCCTGGCAGCAGCTAATTCCTTTTGGCTTGCAGAGGTTTATTGGGGTGGGTAAACAGAGCATTCCATCCCCACTGCTGGGGCTTCCAGGTCTGCACCTGGCATTGCTGCTGGGGATGAGTGAGGCAGAGTGTGTGCACCCTCACTGAGTGCCCATAGTTTCAAAACACCAGCCAACGTAGGAATGGGAAGAGCTTCCCAACATTTCTACCCAAGTAATTCGGTCACCCCACCTGTGAATTTGCCTCTTCCTCCTGCTCCTAGAGATTTCTGCAGGAGGGTTCTGGCACCTGGTGCCCTAGCGGGGTCACATGGTTCCTGGGGCTAGGGTCCACTCTGTCTCCCTTCTCTGGGGGTTCACCGGTGTCCACACCAATTCTCGCTCTGGTTCTTATTCTTTTGGGTAGAGGAACCTACCCTACCTCCTCATGGAGACCAGGGTTCCAGCCAGGGGAGGCAGATGGGACATCCCACCTCAGCACCCAGCACCCCCAAACCCAGCGAGGGGAACAAAAGGAAAGAGGAGGTAGCTTACCTTTAGAGGGTCGCCTTTGTTTGGTTTGCAGAGATGAGAAGGTGCCCATGACGGCCCCCATGGCTGCGAATACTTGTTTGCGACTTGGGACCCCGAGCCCTGCCCCTCCCCTTCCCTGGAAAGATATCAGTGTGGATTGTCTACTTCGAATTGGAAGAGCAAAAAAAAAGCCCACGGCGGGAGGCAGCTCTCTTGCAGCTTGGTATTCAGCGAGCGTGGGGCTGGGAACCGGAGGTTTGCTCTTCCTCTTCAGCCCCGCACATGCACTGGTTCACAGGGCCACTGCTCCTGGGGAGTCTTGGGAACCGCTGCCCAGCGCGGGGAAGGGCCCTGCCGCTTCCCTCGCAAGGGACCGAGCACGGTGCCCGAAGCCTGCCTGGCGCTGGACCCGGGGCCGGCGCGCCCGCCCGGCCGAGGCTCCGGAACCGGCGCGGCACGGTGCGGGAGCAGCGCTCCGCCCGCCCGTTCTGCCGCCCGCTTGGCTCGGCTCCCGCCGCTCTCGCTGGCTCTCCCGGGGCCCGAGTACCAATCATGAATGAACAGAGCCCGGGACCCGCTGGAGCGGGAGCCGCCGCGCGCCCGCCTGCCTGCCTCCCTGCGCTTGGGGTGAGAGTGGGAGCAGAAGAGGAGCTGCCCGGAAAGCGCGGGAGGGGCGGGGGCAGGGTTCCACGAGGGGCCGCCGGCACAGCCCTGCTGTCCGCGCTCCTGCGCCCGCACGTGCCTGGGGACATGTGCGCGCAGCACCTAGGAGGATGCATTTCCTGCAGACAACCCTGGGCTAGGGACCTGGCTGATTGAGGGGCAGGGGCGGGAAATAGATTGCCCCTGAGTGAGAAAATGGGGTGTGTGTTTGTGTGTGCCTGTGTGTGGTGCATTGTGATTTCATTGGCTTCTGGAGAAATCTTATTTCACCCCACTGCCTGAATTCATGGGGTGGGGAACAAGTCGGCCCCACCCAGGGGTAGGGTGGGGATGATGAAGAAATACATTCAATTGAGCTGTAATGGGATCCTACTCTGCAGGATATTTAGAGGCCTGCAGGACCCTCCCCCCACCAGGGCCCACCTTCCAATGACAGTGCAACGCAGAGAGAGGGGGAGCCCTCAGGACTCCTGGGTCCTTGCTTCCTCTCTCCTTCCTTCTTTCCTGTCTCCATCCCTCCCTTTCTTCCTTCCTTTTTCTCTTCATTTCCCCTTAATGTAGGTCCCTCCCTCCTTTCTTCATCCTTCATCTTTCTCCCTTTTCTCCCCACCTCCCCAAGATTTTATTGGCCATCTGCTAAGGGGCAGGGAAGAGTCCTTGGGTGGTAGGTACAAAGGTTAACGCACTCAGCTGCTGACCAAAAGGTTAGAGGTTCAAGTCCACTCAGAGGCACCTTGGGAGAAAGTCATGGTGATTTACTTCTGAAAAACCAGCGATTGAAAACCCTGTGGCACACAGTTGTACTCTGACACACATGGAGTCACCATGAGTCAGAATCAACTTGACAGCAACTAGTTTTGCTATGTGGCAGATGATGTCAGGTCTGGGAGGATAATGGCTGAATTCCAGAGACAGTATCTCACCTGTGATTTCTCACCCTAGGCCAGGGCAAAGATTCCCTAAATATCACACGGACTCTCAATTCCATCCCTGGTTTCTCCTGTGAAAGGGCAAGTCTGAGCTCCCTCCTGTGGACTCTGACCAGCTCCTTGTGGTGCTGAAATATAGTTTGCTCCCTGGATGGCTGAGGGGCTATCCTTCCCCTAAGGCTGAGCCACTTCTGTTCCCACTGAGACCCTTCTTGATTAGTACTGAGAATCTGTTGGCCAAGCTGCTCCTGGATCCTTGCTCAGTCATGTCTTCTCTGCCACACAGATACATGCCGTGTTTACAGTTCACACAGTCTCCTAACATATGGTCTTGTAAACATGTGCACACACATAGTCACACAAACATATGGCCATGGGTCCCTCAAGCCCACACATACGGAGTTCCACAGACATTGCTATCATATAAATATACAGACCCGAGGACCACAACACATGCACAGATGCATACCATTAAACCCCACACACAGACACACAGACACACAGGCATGCAAACAACACAGCCAATGCAAAACAGCATCACTGTCTTCTGCACTCACAAAGGTGCAAAGGTGCAAAGCTGCACAGATGAGCAGTCAGAGTCCAAGGATTCAGGAGCTACTTCACCTCTTTCCAGACCACTGGCTACCCTTCAGGGATGTCGGTGGCCTATATTTGACCTGAGACCCTGAGTAGGCTTTGTTCACCTATAAGACACTTAAAGGAGCTTTGTCAGCAGTTCAAACCCACCAGCCACTCTGCAGAAGGAAGATAGGGCAGTCTACTTCCATAAAGATTTACCACCTCAGAAACCCAACAGGGGTCGCTATGAGTTAGAATAGAGTTGATGGCTGTAGGTATGCGGCACTAAATTCTTTCTCAAATCCCAACACATGTTCTTTTTAGTGCAATGGTGAAGATGTGCTTAGTAACATCCACCCCTTTCATTTGCATAAGCCACTGACATATCATCACATCACCTTATGTGATGCCCACTAAGCCAGTGAGTCAGGCAGATCATCACCATAGAGCAAAATTAAGACTTACAAAAGATAATAAATATGCCTGAAATTACCCCGCTAGGATATGGGATTAAAATGTGGAGTCCAGGGCTCTTTTGTCACCCCCTGGAGATGCTGAGGGCTGCTTAACTAGAGAGAGCTTCTGGATCCCACTAGTTTCAAAGACTCAGCTCTCCTACTTCCCATCTAAGGGCTTGTCTATCTCCATGATGCGTGGGACCCAGGATGATGGAGCCAGACAGGTAGGAGCTGCCCCAGACTCCTTCCTGCCGAGTAACAAGGCATGTAAGGAGTTGAGCCTGGGCCAGGAAAGGACCCACTAGGATGGGGATTTGCAGAGACAATGAGGCCAGTATTGAAGAAACAGAAGAAGGATCTTTACTGGGGAGAGGATGGTGCAGCCCTAAGTGTCTTTGCCAAATTATCAGAGACTTCACTGGAAGCTTCAAGCCACCTCACACTCAGGGCTCTCCAATCTCTGTGCTAACCAAGTAACCATGACCAGGACAGCTCTTGGGAGTTTACAGAAGATTAGAATGCCATTTTTGCTTTTTCACATCCTCCCAACTCTCTGATCAAACTAAGTCCAGATGAATTGCTCCATTTCCTAGTTCAGAAATAGCCAAACACCTCAGAATGCATCCAGTACTGGCTGCATAAAGTGATCAGTGGACATAAAGTGAAGTCACCAAGGCAAAGTCCAATCTGATGAGCTTGACTCAAGAGATGCTTCTGTGGGCTGGCTTCATATACTATTCTCCCTTTTTCCCTGGTGCCCCCTTGACAGTGCCAGCCACACAGAACCCCTTGCTATTCCCCTAATGTTTCCTGATTGTGCCTCAGGACCTTTGCATGTACTATTACCTCTGCCTAGAATGTCTCTCATCTCTCTTTATGAGGAAACCTGATGCCCATCCTTGAAGAATGTCTTCAGGTGCCACCTCTTCCAGGTATCCCTCCTTGGCCCCAGTGGAGGCTGCTATGGCACCCAATCTCTTTTTTTTTTCCCATCTGCATACTCACTATCTTGGTTCTCATTATCCTTTTCCTTGTCTGTATCTCTCCCTAAACTGTGAGTTCCTTAAGGATAGGGACAACTACTGATCTAATTTTTTATCTGTGACTGCTTAACTCCTAGGTGTCCCCAGATGGTACAGATGGCTAATGTTCTTGGCTGCTAACTAAAAGTTTAGAGGTTCAAATCCACTTAGACATGCATTGGAAGGGCTGGATGATTCACTTCCAAAAAATTAACCATTCAAAACCCTATGTAGTACAGTTCTACTCTGACACACATGGTGTCACCATGAGCTGGGGTTGACTTGATGGCAACTGGTTGCTTTACCCCTGGTTTCTGTCAAGAGTTTAGTCAATCTATGACAAACGAATGAATGAATGAACTTTTTTCTTTTTTTAGCTCAGTGACCCAGTTATTAAATAAAAATCGAGGATAACCAGATTACCTTTGCCTTTTAAAGAAAGCAAACACATTCTCCCAAGATTCATTCATTCATGCAACAAGTATTAATTGAGCATCTACCATGTAAAAATTTTTGCAAGCACAATAACTCCTTTATTCCTGATGACACTCTATGAGTTAGGCATTATCTGCAATAAATAGAGAAACACTCGTACAGTATATGATAGAGCCCAACATCATCCATGAGATACTCGGAAATAATGCATTGAAGTAAAAATGAACAGTACGCATGAAGCACAAAAGAGAGAGAAGATGACAGAGATCCAGTCACTGCCTCTTGGGAACCTGAAACACAGCAGGGAACCCCATAGGGAGAGAGGGAGAGAGAGTACACTAAAGGAGTGGCTCTGGAGTCTTCAGAGGGTCAGTCACTCTGACTTCAGGAACCCTTTGTCCTGCTGTTCTGACATGATGTACCTGCTAAGGGGATCTTGTCAACCTCATGCAATCTGTGCTTCAATGGCTGTGACTCCCTCTACTCTGGAAGGTGAACTAGCTATGTGCCATCTGTGGCTCTGATTCCTCCCTCATCTACCCTTAGCCCAAGGCCAGACCTCAGAGGGCTCAGGAGGCAGGAACTTCTCTCTGACATGAGCATCTGCATAAGACTCCTCAAGACACCTCTCTGAGATTATCCAGGGATGAAGGGGTGAGTCTGTCAAAGACAAGCCAGGCTTCTGTTAAAGCAAGTGTGTACTTGTTTATGTTCATGTAACACACAAGCCATGTCTTTTTTTTTTTTTTCCTCCCTTGATCTCTTTCAATTTTTCAATTACTCTCTCTTCTCTCTCAAATTCTTAATTTCTCTGTTTTTTCTCTCTCTCCTTCTCTCTCCTACCTTCCCTCTTTCTCTGGTAACTCAGCTGTGTTTCCTCCCATCCTAATGTATAACAGAGGGTCACTGAGTTCCCACCATGTACAAAGGCGGTGTCTGATTAAGAGCATGAATTTGGGGTTCTTCTAGAACTGGGTTCCAATCTTGATTAGCTGTGACTTTGGGCATGATGAGTCCTTTCTCTGAACCCTACTTTTATCTTCTAGTGGATTAAACAAATACCTGTCTCATCGTGTTGCTGTGAGGATTTCATGAGATAATGTGTGTAAAGTATTTAATAGAATGTCTTGAACATAGCATGTCTGGTTATTTGAGGGTGAACCACTACTATTACTGTGGCTGTGGGCCAGGCATTGTACTGGCTACAGGGATATAAAAATGAATAAGCCACAGCTCCTTCCTCTTGGCTTCCATCATTGCTCTTCATCTGCTTTATCAGAAATCTATTCTCAGGGTCCCCATCTGGTATTAAAAGACTCAGATTAGTTAAGGAAGGGAATGTAGTTGGCACCTGATTATGTGCATTTCAGCACTCTGCTTGCTGCTGTCTTGTACCATTTCCCAAATGTTCTGCATGCATAAGTCTGGCCTCCTCAAATAGACTGTGAGCTTTTAGAAAGCAAAGGCTGAGCTTCTCCTGCTTTGCATACCCCCTCCTAGCCCCAAGGCTCAGCCTAGCCCAGAAC